TCGCATCGCAAAAACAGCGTATAGTTTGCTTCGCAAAAGCAACATGCATTATATTCGACATAAAAATGGCAAATAAAAAAATGTAGATAGAAAACAGAACACATATAATATCCTTTTGGACAAAACATACATTTTGACATACAGCGATATCAGTGAAGAGATTAAAACGGAACATCTCTTGCGTATGCTCGTGTACACAAACGTGTACACACGCGTATTTGGATACCGTAAGGTTTCGGTCCTTTTGGCTGTCCGATTTTAAGCGACTCACTGTTCGATGCGCAGATTAAAACGCGACAAAATACAATCTGTCTTTTCTCTTCTCTCTCCAAAAAATAATTCTCATATTGCAACATATAAAAATCAAATAGCCATCAATCCAACTCTTAACTGAACACATTTTCTTAGATAATTTTTTTATTGTTACAATTATTTAAAATTCAAATTCTAAACACGTATGATGCACGTACGTTGGTATTTTACGATGACTGCGTGATTAACAGTCTGAAAATGTACATACGTATATATAATATCGTCGTGGTTGCATTTGATCTCCTATCGTGTTTTCAATCAAAATTGCTGTATCGAGAATAGCAATTACATTCATTTGATAAACAATATCTCAAAACTTGATCGTCTTACAAATGTCATATAAAGAGTGTTCTAGATTTCTCCCGCTTATAATTTTATTAAAATCGATGTTTCGTTAATGAAAATGTAGTCATATATATATATGACTACAATAATATATATGTATGACTAATATATATGTATGACTAATTTCAAAAAGTGAAGTCTTACTACAATAACTTATCTATCAGTCCAATTTTGTGAAAAATAAAAGTACTATTGCAGTACATTTATATTTCATTAAAAATTAAAAATAAATAAGAAACTCACATCGCGTGATTAAAGAGTGTGATTGTGAATATCATTCATATTCTGCTTTTTGAATTAATTCAAGCAACTGTGAAGACAGTAAAAATAATCTGGAACAGTCTTTACGTTATGTTAATTTAAAATTTCAGTTGAAGAAAGAAGAAAATCACTTGATAACAAAAGAAGAAAAGAGATAAAAATTTTGATCGCCGGAAAAGCTTAATACAGTGCGGGTGCGTTTCCTCCGTTAATGTAATTTTGCATGCTCACGTTGCACGTCTCGGATATTACTGTCGCGATTCCAAAAATAAAAAGTCAACGTTATCGTATTAATTTTTTCACAGGTTTATTGTTATCGCGCGAGCGTTAGGCTGCAGATATCTTCTTTTTGTTCGTATCGATCAAGGTCTCTCATATCGTGAGTATCATATCTTGCGTTTTGTATGATTTTAACAGTCTAGATATCGTCGTACCGCAGCTTTAAAATGTATAATCAGCAACAACAAGAAACGTTAAAAAAAAGAACTAAGAAAAACCTGATGCAATCTTTGAGCACAATCATAAATTTCATAAATCATGACTCAAATTTTCTTCAAAATTGCTTGAATCATTCTGCAGTTGCACAGAATATATTTTACAATCTTTTATGTTCAGATTGCAATTTATATAAAAAAATTTTGTTGTTGAAACAAAAAAATTAAGTCTAAGATACATTTGAACCAGAGAATATCTCATGTTAGATTATATATACAAATAATTTGTAACGGAATATAATATTGAATTTATTTTTACCACAAATATAATCTTTTATGTCAATATGTTTTTTTACAATTAACAAAATTTTGATTCTCAACAATCAAACTAATTTTAAACCATAATTTTAAAGCATTCTGATATTTCCATAACAATGAAATAATGTCAATTATTTACTAACAAAAAACGTTTTGAAAAGAAACCTACTTTTACAATTAAACTAGGAAATTTATTGCAAGTATATCTCACTATTGTTGTTTGAATTGCATATTGTTAATTGTGTATCTTTTTCTTGGCACAGATCCCATTTTAGATTTGTAATTTCTGAAGTACTTTATCATTAAATAACAAAGTGAAATTACGGCGTAAATTCTGCGCTGTACTGAAATTCATTATTCGATTAATAGCTACATAAAGTTCCAAGCAAACAACAAGAATCCTATATTCACAGTGGAAATAATGTGTACAATTTAGAATTTCCAATGTATCTTTTCTGACGTTTTACTTTACAGAAAAATAAAGGAAATATATAAGGGAGTTTCTTCTGAAACTTTCTAACATCATTTAGCTGATTCAGTAGATCCTGTGCGTACACTTCCGCTTTAATTCTCTCCGGTCAAACCCCGGGATATTCCTGGCAAGACCGTTTTACCGTTGCGGTCGCGCGCCTGGATATTCCCGGTAGGAGCATGCGACAGTCACTTTGGCAGCAGAACATGACACTGTTTATCTTATTGCACTACTCACACATTTTCAAACGCTTTTTAGATCCTTTGCCTGCAGAAACAGTCTTTCAGTCAGATAAAATCATTTTTCCAGTTAAAATCGTTCTTTCCGAACAGGTAACAAACTAAGCAGTATCAATGAATTTACTATTTGTTTTTTTTTTTTTATTCATTGGTATTTACATTATTTTTCACGTTTGTAAAAATTATACTCCAAAATGTCTAAAAGAAGGCAAGAGTCTAGTGAATATGAAGATGTGCGTAGCTAATGGCTAATAATATATACGTAGCTTAAATAAACTCATTTGAATAAAATGTACACAGTTTGTCCGGAAAGTTCCCGGACTGATTTTTTCTAGCGCGGGTAAGCGGCGCTATCGAGCGGTCAACGCTGGAACTACTTAGTATAG